AGCTATTCTTGATGCTGTTAAGAGGAGGGCGATCTAGCTTTCTTCTACCGCTAATCCAACGGGCTTTGCTGCTTAGAGTTCTCTTCTATGATGCTGCCGCGCGATGTACCTGTCAGACAGAGCCGCTTGACCTCGGCCTCCCATCCTAACTGAATCGTGGAACAATCTACATACCTACATGAGGAGGCTTATTCCAGTTCGACAAACCTTAGGCAATTCAAACATCGGATTAACAAAGTTTCTTTTTGCTCCTCATAGCGGTCGCGGTGCCCTGGCATTTAAGCTTCTGAACGCGCGGCAGCGTCGGAGTAAAAAAAATATATTCCAGGAGACTCTCTCTAATTTGTATATTGCCTATGATATTACCATTAATTAATCTGATGATTTCCCTAACTCTAAAGAGTAGATGTTTCCTCACATGTGGAAACAGTTGTGCCCTCAATACTTTTTTATGTTATGGGAAATACACGCAATAGCTAAACTGGAAGCTGGATAAGTCACATCGTTTTGTCAGGATGCAAGCTTCAAAATTCCGGATTCCATATTTTGGCAATTATAAGATAGATCAATACTCTACCTTCGTTCTGCAACGTGTAATATAATATCCTCTTTCTTATCAGTTACGATATTGATACTGAAAGCCGAACCTACATTTGTTTGGGGTGAGGTCCACCAAATGGTGACATGGATTACTTTGATCTCACAAATATGATGACCCAGAGAATGATAGTTCTGATCGATTACCTTCTTTTAACCCCAGCGCAAGGGTGGGTTGCCGGTGGTTAGAAAGGTGTAACTTGATTCATCGATCTGTCGTAATCTTAAAGGAAAAACCGTTTTACCAGATAGGCTTTTATTCAACTTTAGCATCTGTTCCATACTGTATCAAATATTGTTGAAGAATACTAACTACCATTATAGCTTTCGTGCTACTTGGTACCTCATCAGCATTTAGGCTAGGCCTCAGGTAGGACCAGGAATGAAAGTAAACGTTTGTTCACAAACAATATAATTATAATTTCTCTATATTAATATTAATATTTTTCAGCTGCACCCTGTAACAGCTACTCATCCTAATTGTATATTTAATTTTCACATTATTAGGTATAACCAATTTTTTGATGAGGCACTTTTCGGAAAATCGCAAAATAGTCAAGCTTCTGGGATATTCTGTTAATTTATTTTTTTATTATTTTTTGTTGTTCTTTATTATGTTGTTTTTGTTTTCAATTACCGCTACATATCTTTTTTTTTGTTTCTTTGATACAGTATCTGAACGTCCCTTACGAGAATTTGAGACACCTATCAAAAATAATGAAATATATATGTATGTATGCAAATTACTTCCTAAACCTATATACATACAGCATGGTTTATTTTTCAATCTTCACGTGTATAATATTGTGGAAATGGTTAATCAGCGTAATTGATTAAAATATTATTTATCAGATTGTTTTATCCTGAAAGGCGTTGTTTCAATGTATAATTCACCAATATTTTCGGTAAACTGAAGCTGTAGCACATTTCCAAAGAATTTTCCAATTTTCTTATATACAATTTGACTTGGAAGTGTTAATAATCCCCCATCGGAACGTTTCACTCACAAAAGTGATCTTCTTCAGTACAATGACATATATGCCGCTAGATATTGCCTATTTTGGTGGAATAGCCTTCGCCATTTAACAAACTATACTAAGTGACATATAAATCCGAACACCCAGTTTAAATGGTTTTATTTTAATAAAAGTTGGTGAATGTATTTATCTTACTGTAAATAACAAGTGAAAAAATTTTCAGCCTTATCTGTTGGACATTCCGGTTTTTATACTGCTTTTTTTTAATTCACTAACGCTCTAAAAATGAATATTTCAGCAGCAGTAAAGAAATAACGTTGGCGGATTTTGGTTCTTAACATCCTTTACGATCGGTTACGATGCCTAGAGTACGGAGACCTGTACGATTTCGTCAGCTTAGTGAGTTTGATAGGGGCGGTATAGTGAGACTTCGGGAAGCTAGACTTTCTTTTCGGGCAATTGCAGTTAGAGTGCAAAGAAGTGTAGACACTGTGGTTAGGTGTTGTCAGGCATGGCTTCGAGAAGGCCGTACGCAAAGGGCAAGGGGCACTGGACGCCGCCGTAGAACAACAGACCGTGAAGATCGACGCCTAAGATTATTGGCCTTAAGGGACCGTTTCTCCACTACCAGGTCCATTGTAAATAAATGGTTTGCAGAACACGGAAGACCTATTGGCATGCGAAGTGTTTACCGACGAATGAGAAGTTTTGGCTTGTTTTCATACCGGCCACACTGGGTCCTCCCTTTAACTCGAGAACACCGACGTAATCGCCTTGAGTGGTGCAGACAACGGTCACTCTGGGATCAGGAATGGAACAGTATTGTCTTTAGTGACGAGTCTTGATTTTGTTTAGGCATGCACGATGGTCGTGCCAGGGTTAGAAGGCGACGTGGTGAAAGGAGGAATCCACAGTTTTTTCTTGAAAGACATGTTCATCACACTGTTGGAGTTATGGTTTGGGGTGCTATAGCTTATGGTTCCAGGTCACCTTTAATCTTCATCATCAAGTAACATGAACGTGCAGCGTTATAACCACGAAGTCCTAGAACCCCATCTTTTACCCTATCTTGACACCCTGGCAGATCCAACTTTCCAACAAGATAATGCCCGACCACATGTTGCAAGAGTCACAATAGACTTCTTTCAACATAATGATGTCACATTGTTACCATGGCCACCAAGATCTCCCGACTTATCCCCAATTGAGCACGTGTGGGATATGATGGGTAGGAGATTGCTCAATTTGCAACGTCCTCCTCAGACTCTAGAAGCACTTCGAGAGGAGTTGGTGGTTGCCTGGAATGAGATACCACAGGAGGACATTGACCACCTGATCAGAAGCATGCCTAGGCGCGTTGCAGAATGCGTAGCACATCAGGGTGCATCCACAAATTATTAACGGATAAAGGGCTTTAAAGCAGTGGAATCATTTTGAAATTTTTATCATTTACTTATTATGCTTCATTAAGTACTTATACAAAATTTTATTAAAATAAAACCATTTAAACTGGGTGTTCGGATTTATATGTCACTTAGTATAGTAATATAGTTCATCCATCCACAGACATCCAAACATAGATAGCTGTTTCGTCCTATTTGGCAACTCATCAGCGTGTTCTCGGCTTAGTATCAGGTAGAGAAACCAACGAGTTTGCTCAATGGCAAGTTGACAGTGGTGGTGGTAACAGATGCCATTTTGTACTTATTTCGATTACTAAAGATTGAAAGACTAGAACCAGATTATTTTAAAATTGTTCTAGCTCCATATTTCCGGCGTAAATAGGTTGATCAGAAGGAAGAAGTCTAAACCGGTCTACAATCTGCAATCTAATCAATCTCTAGTTTACTCATACAAATTGAGAATACGCTGTCTCATATTCTCCCTGAAAGAGTTAATTTTCTTCTTAAGAGAAGAAGTCAATTTCTAGTCTTTACTTTTTTATCAACAAGTCGTAAATAATTTGTTTCAATAAACTGTCATATAGCCAGACAAAGTGTTATCCTGCTGGATGGCAACTCTCACAAGAAAATCTCACCTTATAAAGGGGATCATCACATCATGGACTTAACGTACCTTAGACCAGCTACATTGAATTAATCCCCGATATAAATAAACCTCATACCATTTATTGCCCAAAATTATACCCAAGCAAAAGCCTACCTGGCTGCTTAACGAGATTCAGTTGTAAGTAACCGCAAAGTCGCGACAGCCATAAAAAGTCCCAACACTTACAAATCTATAACATAAATCCCCTTGACTGCCCTAACACCGCCCTACCAGCCACCCCATTCACCCGTAGGGTCGAAAGTCCTGCAAAATATCAATTTCATTCATCCCATTCACCGAGGGTAGCTTATTGTTACACAAGTCATCCCCACTTAACGTTAAGGACGGCCCTATTTGCCCTGACTGGGGTATATACCAGTCTGTTTACTTTTGAGATAGTTTAGTCAAACGTCAAGTGGTATAGGGTGCCGAATATGTATATCAACAATTTTTACAACTCCAAACAGGAGAATAAGTGCAAGGGAATCTTCAGACCATGGGATTGTGCCAGTGAAACTCAGGATAGTACTGTGTCAACGACTATTAGTGATGAAGCTGTTTCGGCGTCTATAGAAGGTGTTGAGTCCAGGCTTGATGAGAAGCCTGTCGTTAAGGAAGGGTTTCAACCAGTTGTTCCACACCAACAGAGATTGAGCTACCCACCTGTTTCGGAGGAAGAAGTTTTAACTGCTATTAATGGTATGAAACATTCAAATATCCCTAAATATAGATTCATTATATCTTCTAAACATGACGGACTAATTACCCTCAAAAATACTACAATGCATAGAAACGATAAGCAAACACCATGTTGACGCAACAAATATGCCCTTGTGCTTCAAACACGCAAAACATTCAAACCCTCTAAGATTGTCTTAAAAAATTAAGGCTGGCTCAATGAAGAAAAGGAGTATGCCTGTAAAGCAAACATTGATTTTTTCAACTGCGTCTTGAGATATGATATATGGAACGTAGCTTAGTTAATCCTAGTATTTCTCTGTTTTGATCAAAGGAATTTGATTTGTTGTTTGACCTAAGTCGTTACGAAGTCTTGTAGATAATAATAATGAGTTCATGTGCAAAGAAAAAATGAAAAAATCCATTTATATAGAACGCGTATACAATTTGGGTTTTGATCATTTCCATTCACTTCGAAAGACAACGAATAAATAAGTTTAACAATATAGATATCTCTAGTCTGTTCTCTTGTTCTTTGATATCGTGGGGTACCTTTTTTTAACTTCTCTTGATACCGCAAATTTTATATGATTTGCCTGTTCAGCTTGGAGATATCTATAATCTGCAAAAACGAACTCACAAAAAATCACAAGCCAGCCATGACCTTATTTCTACTTATTGTACTAACATTTTGTTGGAGTTCCATGTTGTCTTTCTTGGTGCCAAACCTCTCCGCAACTATCAGTTTTTTAGTTAGTGGTCTCTCTGGAGTATATTTTTAATTTTCGGTAATCATGATAGGGTTGCAACTATAGTTCTGGCAAAGACCATCTGACGCGATTAAGAAGTTAAACAGATTAGTATAGAAGTACCACGATCGATTTGGGATTCACTTTTTTAGTCTTCGACAACTCAATATTATTACTGATAGAATTTTCCTGACTTCTCATAAATTATTACTGATCTTTAGACGGGGACGCATTGATATTCAGATATTCGGATCATAGAATTTGTATTATTGGACACAAGACACTACACAAGTTCGTACTGCTCAGACCTCTTCAGTTGTCGGATAGCGTTGTGACTGCCCAGCAGTTGAAAAACTTTTACATTGGGGTGTTCATGCAGCTTTTTTTTTGTTTCTGGTCACTACTTTCTTGACCTCATAACCAGAGGGCTAGTCAAATCGCGATAAATATCCCTATCTGTATTTCAATTTGCGGCCCAATATCATCCCTTTCCAATTAAATTTGACAAATTATTTTCCACTGCAGCTAGCAGTAATGCCTAGATCCGTTGAGGTTCTGATGCAAAATGCATGTGCCTAGTCTGACGCAAATCAGGATGTTTGACTTCAGTATTCACTCTTTCAAAATTTCAGTAATCTGCTTTTTCATTGTATTCAATAAGTGATTCTTCTTTTTACAGACCCCTATGGAAAAGCCTACACAGATGCCTTACAACTAAACCTTGCCCAAAGTTTGGGCCTACCTCCTTCAGATCCTCTGGTGCTGGAAAGCCTAGCACACGGTTTTGCGATAGAAGAGTACGCAAGAGTGATTAGCCAAGAACACCAAGCGAAGATGTTGGCATCGAAGAAACAGAGGCCGAAGAAATACAAATGTCCGCATTGCGATGTTGGATTTTCCAATAATGGGCAGCTCAAAGGACATATTAGGATACACACAGGTACGGGTACACAATGAAACATTTACCAAAATACTTAGTGCTATAACTTCTTCGTTAAATCCAACACAAATCAGTGTATGGAGGATATTACTGATCTTCCAGAACTTCTGATTTGCTAAGTTACCCTCAAGGTTATACTCTTTTTGCTTGATAACTTCCTTACAAAAAGATTTGGAAATTAGAAATTGATTTTTGTTTAACCTTTCTAATGCACCGTGGTGTCATTGTTTCTAACACCTAGTGATACCAGAAGATCTAAGTATGGAACACTTTTGTATGAACAATATTTTGTTTTAAATATCTACCTAAAGACTGCTAGTATACCCTGGAATACAATAGCATTTTTAATAAAAAAACTGTTTCTGCTATTCCAGGAGAAAGACCATTTAAATGCGACGAAAGAGAATGTGGCAAAACGTTTACACGAAACGAAGAGCTGACTAGGCACAAAAGGATCCACTCAGGACTCAGGCCTTTTCCATGTTCACACTGTGGAAAGCGGTTTGGAAGGAAGGACCATCTGAAGAAACATTCTAGGACGCACTTTCAACCCAGAGGAATATACGCAGTACCAGTTATGTTACCTTTCGAGACGTGGGCATCTTCGGCTGGTACTATGCCGTTTGTACCAATGTTTGGGTACTAAATTTAGTTGTTTCAATAATATAATTTCAGCATGAATGTTACTGTATTCTGATTTTTGCCAGGCAAAAGGATTCCATCGCACAGTGGCCTAGAGCACCGAAAAGCTGGGCGGGGCAAACTTTCTGCGGCATTTGTACGATTTTCAGTACAACAGGGTTTTTGAGTCGCCGATTTCATATCTCTTTTTCTCTCTCTCTTTGCCTCTATGAGGGCATTTGAAGGTCACTTCAAGATCATATCGAGGACACTTTCAAACGAAACGAAGCAGTTGCTCCCAAGAGGTCAATTAGTGACCGTAAGGGCATCTGACGATCATCTCAAGGTCGCTTCAAGGACATATTTAAAATAAGTCCAGTATACGAGTCCAGACGGATGATACATTTGAAATGAAAGTTCATACTTGCTTTGTCAAAATATATATCCAGATGCTCAAATGTTTTCAACACACAACATATTGGATCATTCAAAAACTCTTCAACTTTACCGTTGAGAAGCAGTGTCGAATGACATACCACAAACTTCAAGTTTGATAGTCTGCCATGGTAAACGTATTGCAAGCACAGTTTTGATCGCATGCTAGCTTATTGTTTACGGTGCTAACTTCAAAATAAGTAACAATTTTTATTCATCTTCGATACTCCGTTTTATCAGTTTTTGTGAGCTTTTCGCTTAGATAGACCACTGTGCATCGCAATGTGAAAAATTGTTGCTCAATCTATATTTTGTAAGATGTTTTAAAATGTAAATAATTGTATGTATGTACATATCTCCGGTGTATATATTGTAATTTGTGATAGCAGAGTGCCATTTATTTACTAAAGTAAGACTACACGAAGAGGCAATAAATATATTTTTTAGAAATCCGTATTTTCTTCCATCTGCAAGCAATGTCGTCCATTTGATACTGTTGAATGCCCCAGTTACACCAACAGCATATCTAAAGTTTTGACCTAATAAGGTATGTCGCACGATCAGTTTTTGCTGTAATGTGATACTTATTGACTGTCTAGGGAGGACGTCAGTATTTATTAATGTATGTTATAAGGTTAAATAGAAATCAAGCCGACTAATTCCTAACCACGCTTTTTGCGATCATTGTATTTATTATAAGAAACGCTATGGATAGAGGTAGCACATTTATCCTGAAAAAGATATATTCTGTTAATTTTGAGCAATTTTTCATAGCCCAATAAAGTAAAGAAACAATGAACCTCGAAAATGACAAGTGACATCACCCTTATTCCCAAGGTACGGGTACGTTAAACGAATACGAATGCTAAAATTGTTACAGAGTAGTAACAATTTACAAATGCAGCCCTGATGCTATAGACCACATTGAATAATGACATCCGCCTATGGTCTTGCGATATACGGGAGAGATGACAATACTCATATTTTACAGCTTCATTTTGGTTTGTGCGGTTTATCACATTTTTTGGGCATAGTGCACATTGTTGTCGGAGGTTTGAGATTTCTAAAATCTGTTTATCATATTTTTAACATCACGGGAAATTATATTTCTTGATAAATATCTAAATTTTATTCCTCATGTGAACAATATTACAAAATGTCTTTAGTACTTTGGTAATTATATTCGAACAAACAAATTCTCGATTACAAAACTAAAAAAATTCTCTGTGAGCCATCAATTATTTCAAAAATTATTACTTATCATTGCTTATCATCCATTTTTAGATTCAGTATCCGTCAAGCGCTTGCAAAAAATTCAAAATTCATGTTGCTGATTAAACTGCAACTTCAAAAAACCAGCTTACCTTCTCCTCCTCCGTTTCTGAAAGATAAATTAAAATTTCATCCTTCTAGGCACTCTCGAGATATTCGCTTTATTGATACACTAGCAATGTCTCCTCACAGAATTTCATTTTTTACTAAATGATTGTAATGTGTAATGCTACTATCATTTACAATGCCCTCTGAGACTAAGGCTTTAAATTACGAGAATTTCAAAACATATTTAAAAAATCATTTTCGAGCAATCATTACCAGAAATTTATATCTCACTTCTGCTTATAATATATGCGTTAACATCATTCTATAAGTATGTATACTGAGTGACAAGAAAAGGTAAACACCTACCTATGTTTATCCGACTTTAATGATTTTTGGCATATACGTTCACTGTCCCTTACTAGTAAAATTTCTAAATATTCAGTTTGATTCGTCAACTGACTGCAGAAGCTGTGGTATATGTTGTTTTTATTGTTTATTTTATGGATAGACATTTTACGGGTAAAGTGGTAGAATAGGTTACGCTAAACTTTGACGAATAAAGACGTATTATTATTAATATTATTAATTTATTACTAACATTGTATGACGGAATATACAAATATTTATTCATAGCTGAAATATTTTTGTTGCAATAGCTCTAAAATGTTTTTTGCCAATATAGATGTACGAGAGCGATTTAGATGTGTTGGAATTAATAGAGTATGAATTGCCCCCGATAGGTGGTTTATGCACAATAAAGCTTTATAGCCCATTATAATGTTACATCCATAAATAAGGCATTTTCCAGAGCAAAACATGTTGGAAAAATGGGTTAATAACCTTGTCACTCTTTATGTTATAAACCGCTGTGACTGCTTGCCAATCTGGTAATGTATCTCGGTGTACAATAAAGTGCACTGTCGCTCCACAATCCAGTCAAATTGCATGAAATAGGTTCACTTTGCACTTCCCACTCCACGCTGTCTACAGCACAAAAATTACGTTCGGTTCTTAGAAGAACGTAACCTTCGTTTCTAAAATATCTCTTCAAAGCTGTAAGTCTTACATCCAGTGTTTACCGTGATCTATTAGTAACATGTTATAAGCGAGATATTTATGTTGCTTAACACAATTGGATAAGAACGTCTGCGACGTTGAAGACTCAGGATGAGAACTATCCATCACTTACATCGCAACAATCTTATCTACGCTGGACGCGAAGATTGAAAATATATCATTTTAAGCTTTCAGGGCAAATGTACAGGTTAGCAACCGATTTTCAAAACCTATATATATATATATATAGGTTTTTCGTTCGTGTGACAGTAGTAACTTTCTGACAAAATTTCATCAAAATCCGAGTCGTAATTTCCAAATAGGTAGACAAACAGGTCGCCGGAAATGAATCATGGTTCTTGGAAATTTACATACTTAATATTTCATTCTCGAAAATTTTCTCCATGCCTCGCCCATCGACGTGGTAAGTTAGGTAAGTTAAAGCGATGAGACTTAATGCATACGATATTAGTACAATAGTTTAATCGAATTGGCTAATTACGTACTTTCTAACTTTGATGCTTGCTCTAAATTCGAAGAGGTGATATTCAATCCACTTCCTTTCGGAGATTGAAGAAGATCAAGACAAAGACATCATATGACTGGCACTAGTCGATTGGCTCTTACCTATTTGACACGATATTTTTGTAACACCCTGTGTCACATTAACAATTGCTGTGTTATTTTCTTGGTAACTGATGTTGAAACGCAAGAACAACTAAAACTTGATTCAATCATTTTGACCAGTGCAACCAGAACGAAAAGATAGGGCAATAATTGAATCGCTTATTTGAGAAACCCCTCATGTCCATAAATTCAACATTTTGACTTTTTGAACTCAAAGGTATATTCTCATATAGATGCACGTTTTGGAGAGAAATCGTTATATGTCCAACTGATATAACGCTGTCAGCGCTAGTTCAAAATATAGATTTATTTGAGAAACCCCACAAGTCCAGGACACGTGGTGTTTCTCTAATAAACGGCTCCTATCTTCTACGCGAAAAATGACATACGCATGCGTTGCGGGTGTTTACCGTTAGCTCATTTTCACAATGTATTCGTGCGAGGATGACCTTTCCGCGGAAGTTATTCCCATAAAATGCAAATTACAAAGGCATAAAAGTAAATCAGCGGATAATAGGTGAACCATGCCGGTAAGAGAAATACGAGTTATTTGGGTTTTGTCGGTCAAAATATCATTTTCCACTTTTAGGTGTAGGTCATGCTGTTTTGATAAAATTCCCGAAGGTGAGCGGCAAGAGATTTTTGATAGATTTTATGCTCTAGAGACGAAAAATGAACAAAATGCATATATGCAGGCTCTAATAGAGTGCTCAGAGATTTCCAGGAAACGACCTAGAGTAGACCAAAATAATGCAAAGCCAAAAAGCAAATCATACAAATACTATGTGTCTTCCAGTTCGGGAAAGCACCGTGTATGCAAAACAACTTTTATTAGTATCCATGGAGTCACTGTAGACCGTGTTCGTCGCTTGAGTAAGTTATTATCAATGGGAAAGCCACCTAATGATAGAAGAGGCAAAAAACCCCAGGGAATGCAAAACCTTGATAGGTGGTCAGGCAAGTAGAGGAGCATATTCGTTCATTTCCAGTTAAAAGGTCACATTATGGTAGCCGTGACTATCACTACCTTAGTGAGAAGCTGGATATAAAAAAATGCATGAATTGTTTCTTATAAACAATCCCGAATGATCGGTAAAGTATAGCTTTTACCGCAAGATATTCAAGGAACGTTTCAGCTTGTCTTTCGGTAGACCACAGGTCGACACCTGCTGCACCTGTGAGGAGCTTTCCAACAAAATTAAACCTAAGGCCTTGAACGATGTTGCTAAACGTGTAGCTGTGGCGGAAAAAATAGTTCACCAAAGAAGAGCCAAACAATTCTACAGCAAGATGAAGTCGATTGAAGAGTTATGCCAAACAGATCCCAGTGTAGGAGCAATTTGCGTGGACTTCATGCAAAATCTTACACTTCCTGTTATTCCGGTCCAAGACACATTCTACCTTCATCAACTAACTGTCAATGTCTTCAATATCCACGACTTAAAATCTGGAAGAACTATGTTTTATGTATATCACGAAGGTATGGGCAAAAAATAACCAAACTAGGTGAGCTCCTTCATTATGCACTTTATAAACAATGATGCGGTGGTCATAATAAAAAACATTCAGTTCTTAGAATGTGCTTAGGTTTTACAGACCTTGGACGATTCAAGACTGTGAACCAATACTTCCCAGTAAGAGGCCATTCGTACATGCCATGTGACAGGGATTTTGCCATGGCGAAGAGAAAAATTAAGAACAATGACCGAATGTACCTGCTAAAAGATTATGTTTCCTTGATTCTCAATTCAAGCACTAAAAATAAATTTTCCGTATACGTAATGGATGGAGAGAATACATTGATCAAAGACTATAAGAAATGGTGGCCCCTTTACTACAAAAAAAAATCTTTGTCCACAGAATCTTATATAAGGGGTGTTAGAAAAGAAGATAAAATTTCATTTTCGATTTCAAATTGTATGCACTTCAGCTACAGCAATGATGGAAAGAGCATTGTGACTGCTCGTGACTTCATTGATGGCCTAATAAAGCAAGAATTTAGGTTGGGAACATCTACTGCTGTTAGAACGTTTCCCGAAGTGGTCGCATACCCTAACTCAAAAGTCCCAATTAGTGCAAAAAGATGGTAAGCATCAGAAAGATCGAAAAATTCATCGTAGAAAAAGGTGAAGAAATCGAAAACTTCTATAGGGAGATATTTGGATGGCCAACTGTTGGTGGCACCGATGACGATGTGGATGAAAATTGACCGAGATACATAAAAGTTTTTTTGTCATTTTTTCAAAAAACTCTCGTACAAACAATCAAACTTCATATTTTTTTACTTGTTATCATGATGATTTAAGGTATTTTTGCATATAACAGTTTTTTCAACTTTTCTCGCGATTGTTATTTTTGGACATGTGGGGTTTCAGAAATAACTGATTCAATTATTACTTCCACAAATTAAATCTAGGACTATTTCTTGGCGGATTTAACTTGGACAATCCTTGGTAATTGTAATCAGTTGTCATCTCTAATAAGTGTTTGGCAGTTATCTTTCTCTGAAAAACATTTTTTAATAATTTTACTCGTACATGAAACTACAATGTTCAATGTACTTGGTTATACATAGCTCTTAAGTTGCTTTTCCATCAGGTGATACAATAATCACAGTGTATCCGGAGCATGAAGACATAAATACGCAGCATGGTCAATAACTGTAGCTTTCCAATGTAAACGGAGGTAATAAAGATGATCACAGTTCGAATGTCCGAGCAACGGTCATCCGGGCAGTGTCATTGTAGTCGAATATAAATTGTAATGAGGATTGAAAGCACGATCATTACGTCACAGCTGGACGTAAGGGTGTTGACAAAGATCCCGTGGATCAATCTGCCGACGGTGACTTCCGTGGCGTGGCCCAGAAGGGATACGCGCCTAAATTGTGTCAAAACATCCTTGTGAACCGCGCGACGGGTGGCCTGAAGCAAGGAGGAAGTAGTCCTTTGCAGTGACGTACCTCTGCTATAAAAGAAAGGTTAACTATTTAATTTATGATAATTATAACATCAATGGTCAGGTTATAGACAGATGCACCTCTTATAGAGACCTTGGAGTCACTTTTGATACCAAGCTAACGTTTACTGAGCATATACTCAATATCTCGTCGGCTGCCACTCGACTACTTGGTTTCTGTATCAGAAACTGGAAGGGTTTCTCCAATGTTGATACATTAATGACTTTATTTTTTACTTTTGTCAGGAGCAAGTTGGAGTATGCGACTCTGATCTGGTCTCCTATATACCAAAATTCTGTCGTGATCCTTGAGGCCATTCAACGTAAAGCTTTAAAGTATTTTCACCTTAAATGCACAGATGCACAGGTTCTTATCCAGAAAGAGGTTGTGACCATAGTGCCCTATTAGAGTTTTTCAATTTGGATTCACTGTCAACAAGACGAAACATGTTTGCTTTGTCGTTTTTGTATGGCCTCATTCACAATAAAATTGACTGACAAAATTTACTTGAAAAAATATGTTTCCGCGTTCCAAGGCTAGGGAGTCGACAACAAACGGCATTCTATTGTCAAGCTGGCCGTACAAATGTTATGACAAAATCGCCAATTAATCTCATGTGCTGCGTCATGAACAGTGTTACTGAATCGTGTGATATTTACAGTGACAGTTGTGCATCGATTATTAACGCTATAGATCATCCAATCTTATTTAGAATGTGTGATTCTATAGATTTAAGTCCAAGAACCATGACTCCTTAATTGTTATTCTATTCAGCATTTGCTGTAATTGGGTTTCACCTGTAGGAAATAAATAAATAAATAAATAAATAAATAAATACTATGAGAGCACAAAATTCCAGCTACTACAGCTTATATTAAAAAAAAAAGTAGGAAACAACCAGTAAGGAGTCGCTGTTCGCTGAAAAGTATGACAAAATTATATCGCGGTGACTCATGAAGAAGGCACCTAAGTGGCTCACCACAGGACTGTGCTATTCCGTGCGTTAACGCCCGTCTGTGCTAAGAGATGGCGATACATTAGTTCATTTATAACATGCAGTATACGCTAAGTAAGAGTTTATAACGGGTGATTTTTTAAGAGGTATAGGACTTGATTTTCAAAAAAACACAAAAAATTTGAAAAAACGATTGAAACTTTATTTGAGTCGATAGAACGGTCGATATAATTTAATTTTTAAAGATTATTTCATGTAAATGTTGGCCGCTGCTCCGCTTTAGATGGCCCTTGCGCAAGGTCCAATTTTGGCACACTCTCTCCAACATATCGGTCGGTATCTCACGAATAAATGCTTCAATATTGGCTTCCAGTGCGTCAATCGTTGCTGGTTTATCCCTGTAGACATTAGCCTTAACATGGCCCCACAAGAAATAGTCCAACGGCGTTAAATCAGACGATCTAGGCGGCCAATTGACGGGCCCCAAACGTGAGATAAACTGTTCACCGAACTCGCCTCTCAATAGGGCCATTGTTTTGTGTGCGGTGTGGCATGTGGCACCGTCGTCTTGAAACCACATGTCAGCCAAGTGCAGCTCTTCCATTTTGGCGCAAAAAAAAGTTTGTTATCATTGCACGGTAGCGCTCGCCATTCACAGTTACGTTCCGGCCATTGTCGTCTTTGAAGAAGTACGGCCCGATGATGCTACCGGCCCATAATCCACACCAAACAGTGATTTTTTCGGGATGCATTGGTAGCTCTTGCAATGCTTCTGACTGGTCTTCACTCCAGATGTGTCAATTTTTCTTGTTAACGTACACATTCAACCAGAAATGAGCTTCGTTGCTGAACACAATTTTTCGATAAAAATATGGATCTTCCTCCAACTTTGCCAGCGCCCATTCACCAAACGGGAAACGTTGTAGGAGGTCATGTGGCTTCAATTCGTGCACCAGCTGTATCTTATACGGTTTTACACCCAAATCCTGTCGCAAAATTTTCCACGTAGTAGAGTAACAGAGGCCCAATTGCTGCGAACGGCGGCGAATCGACATTTGACGGTCCTCACTAACACTGGCGGATACAGCAGCAATATTTTCTTCAGTCCTCACTCCACGTGTGCGTGTTGGTGGTTTAATGTCCAATAATGTAAACTGGGTTCAAAATTTAGTCACAAGCTTCCGAATAGCTCCCTCAGTAGGCCGATCAAATTGCCCATAAATTGGAAGCAGTGCTCGATGCACTCTTTTCACCGAGCATGAATTTTGATAGTAAAATTCAATAATTTGCAAGCGTTGTTCGTTCGTAAGTCGATTCATGGTTAAATTATAGACCAAACTGAACAAGTTTGACAATGACACAAGACACGATTCACGCGTCATCTGTCAAAAACGGTGTTGCCAAAAAGATACTAGCAAAAAAATCACCCATTATTAGCAGTAGTGATCATGGTATGAGCGTGATTAATGGTGATTCCTTGTGCCTCCCTTTCGTCGCTTCTATTTTCGGTGCTCCTCCTGTAGAGCGCGCACCTCTCCTCAACCTGCAAATTAATTGGGGCGCATCACTACTTTCCGCTGGCTTCTGAGCATTATCTGCCTAATTTTTTTTTGCGCAAGCCCTGTTTATAGATAGGAGCTCCATACAGCATATTTGACTTACTACGCCTGAAAAATCCTACGCCCCTCACTACTGGAGCCTCCGTCAGATGGCATTAGCCGTATCAGGAATACGTCGACGTTATTTGGCTTATATGTTCAGTTATTTTTAGATCTTCATCGAGCGACACATCCAGGTGCTTAATCGCATTTTGGTTTCGAATCTTGACGTTCTCAATCTTAACAGCTAGTGGAGCTAGCTTTTTTCTGCTAGAAGGTATAAACACTTCTATCTTCTTCAGAGCTATCTAGCCACGCTAAGACTACATTTTAAATGGGCTGGTAGTGGGCGATCTATTGGAATGGTGCGGTCTTATCAGACGATTGTGTGGTCATACACACAATCAACTCAAACGACAAACTAAAAAGATCTGGCAATCTTTTCACCGTAGCCTATAGGCCGCGCAGAACCCCACAGAGACTCGTGTAAACGGACACAGAGCAGCACTTGTAGCAGCTGCTCTCTAGCAAGTGCTTGGCTGCCTAGGATGTACGCATACTCACTATTGTTGCAAGTTACTGCCGGCACACACGGGTGTTAAATTATCGCGTTGCAAAAAAAAAACGCGCGAACTCCTGTTTGCACTGGACGTCATTTTGTATAGCGGGTATTACGTATCTTGAAAGGTGACAGTATCTCGATTTTTTTTGACATATTGTTTCTTAGACATTAACTTAGCACTAGCTGATGGACACTTGTTGTGAATTCGTTTTGTAGTTGTACGTGTTACCTAAATATGATGCCTCAGTTATCAATGTTTGGCTCTGATGTGATGTAAAATCCGCTTCAGAGATGGCGTTGTTGGAGATATCAGCTGTAAGTTGAATACTCTAGCTAAAAGGAAACGGCAGTACATATGTATGTGCATAGTAAGGATTTGTGTGCTGATAATATGCGTTGAATGATAATTCCATTGGTTTCTTGTTTCAGATACACTTAAGATTCTAAGCTAGAAATTAGTTGCGCATCCACTTTTTCTTAAACATTCTGGAAATTACATATGCAAATTTGCAGAATTTCAAAAATGAGAGAGATAAGAAAAGAAAATCTCTGGTTGGCGAGGGAACAGGTGAGAAATGAAAGTGGAAAGGTTATTACATATTTTTTTTATTTCCAGTCATTTAAATTCCGAAAATGTTTTACGTCATTCCAAATGTTTCTGTGATGTGGCTGAATTGCACACAATGCGGGCGCAGTGGCGATTTCCCGTAGTACTCCTCCAAGTAATTGAAGCATCATTATTGTCTATACAACACGTACAACTAGAAAACGAGTTCACAAGTGTCCATCAGCCAGTGCTAAGTTAACATCTTGTAGAAAATCCCATAATGTAATAAAAAACCAATACAATGTCAGAAAAAATCGACATAATGTCACTTTTCAAGATACGTAACACCCGTTCCGGTGCCTTCCAACAATGCAATGCCAATCACGCGTTTTCTTGCAGCGCGACAATTTAACGCCCGTGCTTATCGGCAAACTAAGTCCATCTCGTTTCGATCATCTAAACAACTGCGTCATGTGCCAACTACCCATCATTTCGAATATAGGAGCTACAAACTATTTAATGTACAGCCCAAGCCAGCAAATCTACTTATTTTTCGATTTTTTCCAGTGGGTATACAAAGAGTTACGAGGAAATTAAAAGAAGACTGTGAAAAGCCAAGGCGATCCAATGTCCTCCAGGGGATCCAAGGGAATCAGAGAGGAGAAGATCCTCTAGATAATGACAGTGGTTAGCTTTTTTCCAGAAGGCCTTGAAAGTCTTAAAAACAGTTTTTATTCTCTTTAACCGCGACGTCTTATTGGCGCAGGCGAACGTAAGCACCAAAGATTTAGCAGTTCAGCCCATTTACTGCTATTATTACATATGTATATCCTATTTTACGAGCATCCATCACGCTTTGACGTCTACTGAGGTGAGCAGCTGATCAGCAAGTGACATTTTTGTTTTAGTCTGCAACGTTGACGCTAATGGATCGGGTATCTAATAAAACTTTTTTGTTCGTTTTGTTTTTTGTATGCAAATGAACTTCTAAACAAAAGAGCTGTTAGCAGGTTCAAAATGAATCTGAACCGTACAAAAAACCAAAACAAAATTCGGCACTATCTACCTGGCGTTGACGGATCCGTCAGCCTTATGTGTCCTGTGCCGATATGGGAAATTTTTAGATATTACTAAATAGTCAGCTGTCATTTTGCAGTGGTGGATACTCGTGAAATAAGGTGTAAATGCTTTCATTGAAACCGGTGCGATAGCCTATAAAATTACGCAGTGCGTTAATGGATACAGAGAAATGGAAATTCATGATGTAGATTTGTAGGAATTTTCACAAGAACATCACGAAACAGAGTCCGATAATATTCGAGGATTCTCTCACAACGGTAAACGTGTCGTACTGAATATGTGAAGAAATACTCCAACAAATAACGTAGTACAAAAAGCCCAAAGAAAATTCTTCGCCGTCAGGGCATCCTTACTGCACTGAGGTCGATGCTATGGGCATATGTCGGAGATACTCATTACTTTATGTAGCATACTAACTTTTGGGCTGTAGTTTTGCTTCGAAAAGTATGAAACCTAGTACGCCTCTGGCGTCGCGTCACAAAGACCCACCTCAAATAAGCAAAACTGATTTGTAGATACTGAATAGCCTCAGTTTACGTAAACTGGCTGTAAGGTCACAGCAAAAATTTCGTCGGAAGGTATTCCCGTACTACATAGAAGAAGAAACATGAAAAGAATACGCTGACAGGACGCGCCTTTCTACGGAGATTAATGGTCCTTTTAACTTTGCTGGAAATTCCATCTCTTCCAGCGTTCTCCGGATTAAAGGAAATCTTCGGTTATTTTCAAGTTACGCTGAGCGATTTTGAGCGGTGTGATTAATTAGCTCCGTGGCTACAGACGGGATATCAATCTGTGCGATTATGAGTCAGTGGTGAGATAATTTAATTTATTTGTAGTATCATCATTTATGTCAGGCGAAGTATGCCCGACAGCTCGAAAATACAACAGCAGCAAGGTGATACAACAGACTTACATACAGATTAACAAACCTTAAAATAGACACATCTGCTTTGACACGCAATCCAAAACCAGCACGTTCATCCTCTATTTTCCAAGGTACTTTATGTTTCGACGTCTGTTGAGGTGAAATTACGTTGTTTGTCGCCAAAATTGCGTAACCTTGTATATTTACTTTTTTTATACTCCAACTACCACAAAAGCCTAAGGCCTAAACACCCATTGGGTACCATGGGGCTATAGGGGGATACAGGGGAAAGGGGGGTCTCCACACGGACTCTGGCGAGGGAACACGTGTGCATGCAATATGCACATATTCTGGCTCCGCCTACGAGATCCGCCGGGTGGTACCTCCGCGTTCGACAGTCAGAGACCGTCTACCACCTACGGATAATCACAGCATCCATAGCCAAGAGAAACATTTCTCCTGGGACGAGATTCGAGCCCGCACAGCGCACCGCGACTGATCAGGAGACCGAAGAGTCTACTACTGCAGCCACCGCTGCTGCCTGAGCTGCAAAATGTCTGTATCTGGTCACCCAGAAGTTAGAGCATAGGGGGCACTTTGCATCGTCTTGTATTCTGTTGTCTATGTACTAATTTGCAAGGGATTATTGTTTGTTTCCTGGAGATGGATACATACAGAATCAACTATGATATTTTTCTCATTTGTACATTCCATTTATGTAATATGAGCAGTACCTAGGTCTCATCGAAGCCTGTATTTCTTAGAAAATCGATTAAAACACATACATTCAACTAGTCTATTACAGTGGTCGCCATTTTTCGCATCCTAGCAATAACAATAATTATTTTTATTCCAGGACAAGATATAACTTATATGACTACAAATACAATTAAGCTAGACAGGAAAGAGTATAAAAAACGCGTCGCAACCAGAAAAAAGCATCTTTAAACAAACACGCAGGACAAAAATTAATTTACGTAAATTGAATTGTCAGCCAGGTATTCCCTAACACTACAGTAAACTTTGCTGGGTAGGAATCCTTTATTATATTCATTATCCCTGAGGTGCTCAAACTTTGCAGGAAGCTTGTTGTAGCATTTTACAGCCGTATATTCAGAGCAAGACTCTGCGTTGGTACTTGAAGCAAGTTTGAGTTTCTGTTGTTATAAATATTGAGATCATTCAGGATGTGAAATTGAGGTTTAGTTAATTTAACATGAGCTGATTATTCATATATGTCATTACTCCAAGGTTTACAAAATTATCCCTTCAAGATGACCTACCATCAATTCCTGCTATAATCCACAAAAATCGCTTTTGCATTACAAATAGCCTATCGGTCTCCCGGCATGCAGCCCAGGCCAATATACCATAAAATATTGTAGAGTGTATACACTGAGAACCAAATTTGTCTATGGCTTGTGTTCAATGTGTACGAGAGAGAAGTGTGATTAGACACACATGTTAGAAAGAGATAGAAGCCTGCGGTTTTGCGAAACTCATCATCGCGTTACCTAGAAACGCGGACGCGGTAATCTGCCGCGTTGCCAATTCCTTGAATTAAAATACATGTTGAAAATATGCGTTAGTTTATTCTCTACGCCCAAATGCTTTTATTTTGAGCATACACATATTTGAATTGTGAATTGTGTCGAATCTGTTTAGGATTGATTCCACCTCCATGATTACTGATGAACGATTTTGGTTAATATCCCTACAGCGCTCATTGGGAGGTTCGTCCTGCTTAGAAATGGTTTTCACCTGTATATATGCAAGCAGTGATAATGTGTATTGTGTAATGGCATTTGTTACGTTTTCCGATCACTCTCTGTCGCAAAAGGTAACAATTGTTTGTTGATTTTATCGGTGGAAATCAAAGATAAAATAAATTAAAACACTAAGTCGCATCCAAATTGAAAAAAATAATTCTAATCAAAATGAAAACAAAATATTAATTTGAATGTTCGAACATACCTCCTTCTCAGGTCTGACGGTAACCTAACCTATTGTAGAAGCCTGTGCGGACATTTTCTGGTGTAACATATTGGCAACGAGGCAGATTGCACGATCTTCTGCGTCACCGTCGCTAGGCAATGTGGTGATTACCCTCGATCTTTAGCCGAATCCTATCTCTTTCTAACATGTGTTGATACACACTTCTCGCAGCTTCTCTCTCGTACACATTGAACTAAAGCCCTCAGCAAAATTTGGTTTACTCTGTATAGAACCGGTCAGCTACGAATTTGAACTGATTGATACCCATTATCTAAGAACCATTGATGTGCTTGTTTCAATTCGGTTGTCGCTGCACCGGACAGTTCTCGTTGATTTTTAGTTGTAGTCAATAAAGTTGTATCAATGGCATACATGACATATTTACTGTTTCCTATGCTTGCGATGACCTCTAACTTCCATCACACCCTTTGCTTCTTGTATCCACGGTTTTATTGGTCTGCGCTTTTTTCTCCGGTTGGTGGGAATCCATTGTAACAATCGCAGTCAATAGTTTCGAGGATGTCAATGTCTATAGATACCCATACGTCTTCTGATTTCTGTCTTTTCTAGTGAGTCGGCAACATCTCGATAACAATTAATTTCCCTGGCTTTTATTTTAGGGCATCCTTTATATTTACTATCCAATGCTCTGAACCGTATGTACCAATACTTTCTATGATACTTATATACATCCTAATGTTTGTGTCCCGGGTGCTGCGGTACTCTAGTAACTGATGTTTATTTTAGAGGTATAGAACTTTAAATTGCAATAAAACAACGATGGATTATTTAATTGACATGCATTTTTTTTATTCGAAAGATAATCTTGTGGCATTAAATTCTAAATATGATTTCTGGCATATGACTGCCACGGCTGGCTCGAATGTAGTCCAACCTGGACGTCCAATTTTCGATGACTTTTTCCAACGTTTGTGGCCGTATATCGGCAATAACATGGAGAATGTTGCCTTCCAAATGGTGAAGCGTTTGTGGCTTATCCGCATAGACCAATGACTTTATATAGCCCCACAGAAATTAGTCTAGCGGTGTTAAATCACAAGATCTTGGAGGCCAATTCACAGGTCCAAAACATGAAATTAGGCGGTCACCAAACGTGTCTTTCAATAAATCGATTGTAGCACGAGCTGTGTGACATGTTGCGCCGTCTTGTTGGAACCACAGCTCCTCATGATTGTTCAATTAAAAACTATAACGTTGACGACTTGAGGATTAGCTTCACTCCAAATGCGGCAGTTTTGTTTGTTGACGTAGCCATTCAACCAGAAGTGCGCTTCATCGCCAAACAAAATTCGCTTATGAAAATCGGGAACAACGGCAGTCTCGTTTTGGGCCTATTCAACGAATCTACGCCTTGTTTGATGATCGTTTAGCTTTAATTCTTGCACGAGTTAGATTCTGTAAGCACGCAAGCCAAGATCCTTCCGCAAAATCTTTCATAAAGTAGATGGACACAGATCCAATTCCTATGCTCGATGGCGGATTGACTCATTCGGGTCTTCCTCAAAGCTACGCTCTACAGTAGCAATAGCTTCTTCTGTACGTACCGTACGGAGTCTCTGGGGAAGCGAGATATCAATTAGAGTAAACGTGGTGCGGAAACGTTCCATGGTTAATCGAATTAACTACGCTGATGGACGATTTTGTCGACGATAAAATGAACGTAGTGAGCGATACGTATTCCGCACAGAACCATTATTTTCGAAATAAAACTGCACAATTTGAA